GCTCTGCCCAAAAGAAGCATCATATCGACCCCCATGTACGCGGGGAACAAAATCCCCAGAACGTGTACAATATCCCTATTGTGCATGGATTTGCAGCCTGATTATTCAGAGCATAGCCAAGGAAAGGTAAGGCTATGACCCATTGTTTTCCTGCGATCAATTGAATACTGTCATTTGCATTTAAAACGCTCCGAATTCGCACTGTCAATATGCCAAACAGCTGCTCGGGCTTTTCAGCATTCCATGGTGACAATCACACTATCGTACATCATTGGCACCAGGATTTGCAATACTCTCAGTGTCAAAATTTTGTGGGGTTTTTTTTTTAAGAGGGAAAAAAAAAATCCTCCCCTCCCCCCCAAAATACCCAAACCTGCGAAAAATCCACTTTTAAAATGATGGCGTTGGATGCTGCTAAGCAGGCCCTCACAGATGCCAACATATCAAAATTCATCTCTTTTCTTCCTCTCCTACAATTAAAAGGTAGTTAAGAAAGAGGCTGTTCCTGATAGACCCACCTTCTGTTTTCTCCTTTGTATGCGTATTATTCATTAGCAGTCTAATAAGAGTTTCAAAATGCTCTGTGCCTCTGCCAGCAGGGCATATGTATGTAGACATGTGCTTGTGACAGATAAGTACATAAACAGCATATTGGCACCAGAAAGACATCTGTGCCTAGAAAAACGCTTGTGATATGTACATAAATGACATTTTAGCTCTAGTCAAGTCCTTGTGGCTTTGAGAGGAATATGTGACTGTACTCTTCTCTGTGAATACTGAAAAGGTGCGCTTTAGAAGGGAGAGTATTCCGGAGGTTTGCGGGAAGCCGGAGGACGGGCTGGGATGCGGGAAGCCGCCCCGCGCGAACAGCCGGGGTTGCAGCCCCGGCTGTGCCAGGTTGCGGCAGACGGTGGGAGAGCCTTGCCAGGGGGATGGTGGGCGGCTGCCGCCGGCACTGCCTCGGGCTCGGCCCCCTCGGGGGGAAGCACCCGGCACCCCCAAATCTTATTCCGTGCGTCCGTCTGGGCTCTGAGGCAGTGCAGCTCCTGGATGGGAAGGGAATAAAATTTGGCCAACAGACCAAAAAGCCAGGGGTGATCCAGGGTCCGGGAGTACAGGGAGCCTCCCTGCAGTGCTTTGTGCTACCTACATCTAATTATCTGGCTGACAAGTCTGAATGCAAACCCTTCACCACAGCAGAAAATGGACATTTTGGCCTGCTGCAGAGTGGGACTGAGCTTCCCGTCTTCTGGGATCCTTCCCAGATGGCACAGTGGGACACTTTGTAGGTCTACTGACACTGCTCATAATGCCTCACTTTCACTTTACCCATTCCTGGCGACAGCTCCCAGTCTTATAGCTCTGAGTGCTGGAAATGTTGCTGTGGCCAGGAGGCTATAGGTGAGAGGTCTATGGTTCCAGGAAAACCTAGGGAATATTTACATCTAGTCTGTGTGAGAAAGGAGAGAGAGAAGATGCAAAACTGGAGGTATTTTAGTATTCACCACATATGCACAGCAGCAAATATGTACTTGGCTCCCTGATTCTGGGGCTTGTAGTCAAAGTCCTAGATATATTTGAGCCCTGAGCTCTCATGGGAGCCCTTTTGTACCTGTGAAATCACCCCAAGCAGGGAACTTAAGCTTAAGAAGTGAGTTCAACCATGTCTTTTTTGAGCTTGCTCCAGGAGGTTTGGGTGTCCCAGCACTCCCCATTCCTGGCTTTCTGAAATTACAAATCTTTTCATTTGATCCAGTAAAGTAAATCCTAAAAGCAAATGAGTGTCCAAAGCTGTCACTGATTCCAGGTTCATGAAGACTCACATCGGCTGGATCATGAAACAGCAGCTGCACCTCTGTGAAACCTTCTGGGACGTGGCCTTAGGACACTCACTGGGGCAGTCGCTGCTGTTCACCAGCTTGTCCATGGTGAAAATTGCCCTGCTCCTTTGGGACTGACACAAAGAGGGAAGAAACAGCAAAATATTCCTTGGTGTAAGTCAGGATGGGTCCTTGGATTTCTCTGGAACCTGTTTGTTGACATGACCTGAGCACGTGGCTCCCTGGGTGGGTGGGGGTCTCACACCTCCAACATGATGGATGGAACCACAGTGGTGGATGAGCTGTTACTTGCCTGAAAAAAAAAAGTGTTTTTGGGGAAAATTGTCTCCAGTCATTTCATTTTGCATGTGATTTTTCCTACATATGTTTCTAATCATTAAGAAATTCTGTAGCTTAAATAATGCTCTGAAAGTACGGTAACTGTTGGACTACATTCTGTTGTAACCTTATTGAATTTCACTTCTCTGGAAAAAATAATGGGATACTCTATCTTGAAAAACAAATGGTAATTGCATTTTTAACAGAATGTTTCTCTTTGTGTTTCAAAACCTTCTGCACACAGTTAGACATCTAGCCAGGGAAGAAGGTACAAAGCATATGGGCCAATTTCTGTCTGTTGGCTGTTCAAGATGCCTTAATATTCAAGCAGTGATGTGTGTGTGTCCATGCAATATGGCACAAGTTATCTACATGGTATTCAGGAGCTCAGGTGAGGTGGTCAAAAGTTGTGTACTGGGGTCAGAGAAGGTATTCAAGGAGAAATTGGGGGAAGGTGGGTTTAAATCCTGTTCCCTACTAGATGTGTGAGTTCTCATCTTCATATTAATTCAAATTTTGGTTATTTGGACCACATAAGACTGATGTTCGTGGTGCTGATCAGAGGAACAGGTTCATCTTCCAGGTGACCAGGATCTTACGCTAAGGGTCTTATCAAAACTGCAAAAATCAGAGTTGTCCAACACCTTTGCACTGCCCATGCACTGCAGTGACGTGACATCCTCTATGCCTTGGGGATCTGCACATCACCACGTGCTGAGCACTGAGTTGATTAAAGCCTGGGACCCGAAATAGCATCATTGCGACACAGTTTGATAACACGCTAGTGTTATTGTCTGCCAAGGTTAGGAGAGCCCTGGTAATACCGGAATGCTCTTCTCTAATTTTTAGTAAATCTGGTGTGTTAAGAACTTTGTGAGGGGATGCTTTTGGACATGTGAAACTTCAAGGCAAAGGAATAGGCTTGAGGTTTGTGACTGACAAGACACATGTGAGTACATGCAAAATGTGCTCCTCCTGCTAAAAATAACATTTCTCCTGTCAACCACGATGCATCCACCCCCACAACACCACCCAGAAGAACACATTAACACCTTGGCTTTGCACGTAGCCCGATTCACAGCAGCCACAAGTGGTAGAGGGATCTGCACTCTGTGTGCATGCTGACAAATCATATGGCATAGCGAGGAACAGAGGAGTGAAACTGGGCTAGCAGAAGTTGACGCCTTATCATCACAGTCCCTCTGAGCATGCTGTAGGCTGACACCTCCACCAACCGAGTCATCTCCCCGATGCCAGGATGAAGAGCATGAGCCTGCTATCCTGATTTAGCCTCTGGTAAGCGAGGCTTGGCTTGCCACACCAGGAAGGTTGGAACACGGAGGTGCATTGGCATGGGGAGAAGCACAGCATGTCCAACCACCGCTGCTCGCAGCTGTGCTATGGTGACATGCAAAATACACTTTATAGACAAGTGATGTGAAATGTTTGTCCCACTGCTCCTCCCCATTTGATGCCTAATCCCATCCAGAAACCTGTAAATAATACTTCAAAGAGAGAAGGGTGGGTTGCTCTTAAAAAGGACTTCTGCAAAAGCTGAAGTGAAGGTCTATCATACAGCCTGTGTGTACTTCTAAGGTAATGAAAGAAATGGACAACAAAGTTTGTAAAAATGTTAAAAAACTAGAGAATGCCAATTTTTTCCCAATGGTTGCTCCCTATGAAAATTTACTCTTTTTTTCTGAAAAATTAAAGCTTTCTGAAAAACACTGAAGACATAGCTTCCTTGTCCATGGCAGGGGTGGGAATTAGATGGTCTTTAAGTTCCCTTCAACCCAAACCATTCTGGGATTCTATGACAAGAAAAATTTACTATCCTTCTGAACTCCTCACTGTAACTTCTAGGCAAATAATTTGAAAACTCGTTACTGACAGCTTTGCTTTGGTATAAATTTAGATTGTTTGCAAGTAAATTTATTAAAAGAAAAAGAAAAAAAAAAAGGAAAAAGGAAAAAAAAGGAGCTGGAAACAAGTCGTAGTTAAAGTATTAGCAGGTGACATGAGACTGCTTTCCAGTCACAGAGGTCAACGTCAGTGCTCTGCAGCCTTCCCCCAGGACAGCATGAAGCTTAATTCAAAGGGGATTTTGAGAAAACCCAGGAGATTTAAATGCATAAGTTGCAATCTCATGGCAAATGCATGAGTCTGTCTTCTCACTCTCGAAATAAAGCTCCTTTATCTCTTATTTAAGTGGTTGGAAGAGCCCTGGGCTCCCGCCGTGCTTCCCTTGTCCGAACCTCACCTGATGGCTCCGACAAAGCTGAGAAGGCTTTGGTGGGCACTGATGGCATCCAGCTCTTTGCAGAGGGTGCTTAGCACTTAATAGGATCAGCCTCTTAGCCACTTGTATGATGTCCATCACCTCAGATGCCTCACCATTTCTGAATCTATGCAACGCCCACCATATGTAATTAGCCAAGTAAGCTGCTTTCACCTCACCTCAAATGTTTGCCATGCTGATAATCCCAGCTAGGTGTCTGTATAAAGGAGCCCCTTGTCCAGGGCAAAATGGAGAAATGCTCTTCTATAAGAAAATTAGGGAGTTGACAGAAATGTAAAGCTAAAAGATTTGCAAGATTGCTTTTGGTTGGCCAAATGCTTTGAGGTCTTGGGGTTGTTTTTGGAGGTCCTGGTGTTCACAGTTAGTTATTCAGTAGGACGTCTGGCAGAAGCTGCACATGGAAAAGCAGCTCGCCCTCAGAAAGCTACCGGTCTTAGCTTTTTTTGTTTCCTTTCCAGTCCTTTCTTACTCCTGTTTTAGCAAATGTAACACCAGAATCGCGTCCCTTCCTGGGATGAAAATCTGTGAGTTCATCAGCCAAGATGGAGCTTCAGTTTTGGTCTGATTTGATTTCTCTCTTGGAAAAGCTGAATGGTCGGATGCTCTTGGTATTTCTGCTCTTGTTTCTTTTGATTATTGACCTTGTGAAAAAGAGACGACCCAGGAATTTTCCTCCGGGGCCGCAGCTCTTTCCTCTCGTAGGAACCTTTGTGGATTTCAAGCAGCCCCTCCATCTTGCCCTGCAGAAGGTAAGAGCTCCATGGACATTTCTCCTACTAACAATATCTTACCTCTTCCATGACTTTTGTCACCAAACTGGGAAGAAGCAAGGGCAGCCTCTGAAGAACTACCTATATAATAACCATGTAAGACAGATGACCCTTCTTGATTTTATCTCTCACTGTCACCTCCTCTTCCATGAGAGTAGGAAGGTTAAATGGAAAAGAAACCCATAATGGAGGAAGACCTACATGTTCCTCCTCTTTCTTCCCATCTGACCATGACTATTTTCTTCTGGAGCCCAGGAAGGACTGAGCCTGGCTAGGGGACAGACAGCAAGTGCTGTGTGAGAAATGAACTGTTGGGACTGTGAGGATCACCTCCTGAAATTTTCTTTGCTCAGAGGGTAACAATTTGCCCCATTACATCTGAAAGAAACATTTAAGACCCTGAATTAACCAGCCCTGTGGCTTCTTCTGTGTTGCAGAAAGAGGTAGTGATTGCTCTTGAAAGGTTTCCAGAGCTCTGACTCCCATCAAAGCCAACAAAAGAGAGATATTTTATACATGCTGAGTATGTCTCTCTGAAAAGGTGGGAGAAGTTCTGACTTGCTGGCTGCAAATATCCTTTCTGGTGACTATTTATCTCTTGCTTTTACTTAGCAGGCTGACACCAGCTTATCTACCCTGGGTTTTCACATGCCACTAGCACAGATGTCCCCTGAGGGTACCCTTGGGGAAGGCTGAAGCAGCAAGCTCAGAATATTTTGTCAATACACACAATTATTATTAAGAACATTAATCCCATTCATTTGCACACACACAGTCACTGAAACACCCATTTGGTCCCAGAACGGTTTCATGAGTCACCACAGCAGTTCAGGGTGACTGTGTGTGCCTTTCCATGTAGACTCACACTGAGAAGAGGATGAGTTCCTTGGCAGAGAGAGGATGCGACTGTCCTTTGCTCTCATACATCAGCAAGGAGGCACTAAGGTCAGCAGAGTCCATGCAAGGAAAATGGCTATAATTTGGACATAAATGCATTCAGGCTTAAAATTAGAAGTACATTTCTATCCATAAGCAGCTGGAGCTCCCCTCTAAGTGGGAGAGCTGGAGAAGCCACACTACTTTAAACACAAAGCTGATGAAAGAGATAATTTGTTTTACTTTGCCCTCAGCAGGAAGAGTCTGAGTGTGGTGACCCAGGTGGTGCTTCAACTTTTTGTACTCTTTCTGTGAAGAAATGCCCATCAGTTACAAAGCAAGTCATGTCCTTCTAACAAGTCAAATTGATGCAAACACCTGGTAAAACCCAGGTCACACCTGCTAACAAATATAAGCAAACTATCTCTCCCACACTACAGCTCTCCAGCTCTTTTTAGGCCTCCTCCAGCCTTCATGGAATAGTTTAGATTGAATGGGATGTGCAGGCTTGGTTTTGGGTTTTTCTTAAGTCCCCTTGCCTCAAGAAGGATTGAATTTGAAGTTAGATCCCCTTGTTCAAGGTCTTGTCCAGATGAGTTTCGAAAATCCCCACCTTGTTGATCTCAGAGGGCAATGATCTCTCTTTCAGCTCACCGGTCAGTATGGGAACATCTTCAGTGTGCAGTTTGGAAGTCTGACTTTCGTGGTTGTCAACGGATACCAGATGGTGAGAGAAGCTCTTGTCCACCAGGCTGAAATATTTGCTGATCGGCCAAATATTCCACTCCTCCAAGAAATATTCAAAGGCTTTGGTAAGCACAACTACCAAGATTTGGGGACAAATCTTTTATCTATTTGGAATGATAACAATTAGAGGGAAAGGAACAGGCTGAATTCAACACTTGTGAACTGCACTGGGGAAGGCAAGAATTGAATTCAGACTAAAAACCTCCCAGGAGTATGTTTTAATCTCTCTGAGATTTAGGGATGAGGATGGGATCAAAGCCAGGTCTTGATGAAAGAGGAGAAATAAATTCGAGCTGCCCAGCAAACGATATATTTGAAGAGTTTTCCCCTTGGTTTTAATTTCTCCTTTACTTTTTCTCCCTCAGTTGCATACAGCTCCAGAGATGGGATGTGGTGCTCCTGCCTGCAGCTCTGCCAGCAGCGTGATAGTGCTCATAGTATTTTGGCTTACACCTTTTTTTCCCACGCAAAGTGACAAAGTAGCAGATTAAAGCAAATCCATAAAGCTAAAGATCTTTAGCATAAGCCAATTACTCTTGAATTTTAATTCCCAGGTAAACCCATAGTTTTTCCAAATCTATGGGCTTTGTTTGCTTTGGTCTGGGGTTTTTGTTCACGATGAATGGCTGTTTCTGAATCCTAATGCTCACACATGACCCAGAGAGAGGTTTGTTCACTTGTTTTTTCCACCTACAGGGCTCATATCTTCAAATGGGCACATATGGAGGCAACAGAGAAAGTTTGTTTTAGCAACACTGAAGAGCCTTGCCGTAAATTTTGAGGAAAAAGTGCAAGAGGAGAGCCGGTACCTCGTGGAGACGATCGAGGAGGAGAAAGGTGGGGGGTTAATGTACAGCAACGTGCTCAGAGCTTCCAGCTAAATGAACAATGAGAAGTAAAACCCTTACCCCAGCACAGCTCCTAACATGCAAAACATTTCTTCAATAGCTCAAATCTCTATCTTACACTTCCAGACTGTGCCTTTTAGCACTTATTTTAGACCTCGGGCCTCCTATTTCAGTTCTTCCTTATTAATATCAAGCAAATATATAGTAGATGGTTATTAAAACACGCATGTTTATAGGGCTAAGAAGGTGTCTCCTGTATTCTGAGAAGGAATAAATGCAGCTCTCCTGCTATCAAGCACTACCACTCAGAGGCTTAGTTAACCTCTGCTTGTCCTTGGTTTTGCAAAGTATTTTAAAACTTGTTTAGTCAGGCTTTCCTTTTGTGTCACACAAAGATGAAGTGTGTGTTTTGCTCTTTTATGGTCCAGCTTTTAAAAACTGCCAGAGGGATATTAGTAAGAATAATTTGTATGTTGGTACATGGGTGATGTTGCACTTCAGCTTTAAATAGAAGCAGATGGGGTTGAGCTAATTCTATGGAGCTATATATAGTAAACAAGAAAGATCTAAATAGGAATTGTGAAATTATATACTAAACTTGCTCCATTTTAATTGCTGTTGCACTGAACAGGCCAAATACTCCATGTTGCCAATTGATTATAGTCCTTTATATTCCTAATCAATAAACTAATTAAGCTGCTGGTTTGGGCCTTTCTTCCCATTAGCAATGACAAATAGTGATCATGTCCATCACTCTGATATCTGAGCACCAGCCCGGTTTAATTACTTTCTTGAAGAGTGGAGATCAGCAGTCCTGTGCAGAGTGCCTTGCATTTCAAAGTGATACTCCCCAGTGCAGAGACAGAAGCTCAGGGCTGGGCTGGGTTTGTTACTGAGATTAGTCTCTCATGTCACAGCAAGGAGCTCTCCACGCTGCTGAAATGTGTCCTGGGAGATGGTGGTGTCTGCTCAACAGCCCTCCCAGGGAGTGCAGATGTGACGAGTGTCACACCACACTTTATTCTTGTAAATGTGCATCATGTCTATGGGCCATATGAGCTGTTGCTGGAGTTTACAGTGGGCACAGAGACTTGCAACACTCTTCCCTCTCTCCCTCATGTCACTGGATTTCTTTGTGGTGGACAAATAAAGGCCAGTGCAATGGTATTTTTGCAGTGTGGTTAGACCTGAGCTCCCTGCCCTGGGCTAAGCTTTGAGGGACCAAATGTGTTGCAGCATACAAACTCAACAGCCATAGCATGGCATGCTTCTGGTTGTTTTCTCTGGTTTCAAACCCTGCTTCTGGTTGTTTTCTCTGGTGTCTCAAACCCTGCTTGGGCAGCTCTGTGCCAGTGTCAGTGTCTGCCAGCAGCCTGGGCTGGAGACAGGAGGGGATGTCCTTAGGGAAAGGATATCATGGCCCACAAGGCCTAACCTTCAATGAGATGGTGGAAGTGGTGGGGTTGGTGGGTACCTCAAGACCCAGCTGAAGCCTTTGTCATCACCATGGGTGAGAAGTAGGTGAGGTCTCACCCCAACTTTACAGCTGTGGTAGAGTTGTGGTTTTGACTGAGACTTTAAAGAAAAAAAAGAAGCTGTTATCGGAATCAGAGAGCCATTTAGATAGCAAAAGGCCCTTATCATTCAGCCACCTAGCACTGCTGTGTTCACCACTAAATCAAGGCCCCAAGTGCCTCATCCACAAGCCTTTTAAACACTTTCATGAATGGTGACTCCATCAGTGCCCTGGACAGCATATTTCTATGTCTGACCACCCTTTCAGTGAGGAAATTTTCCCCAATATCCAACCTAAATCTCCAACCTAAATCTCCCCGGCACAACTTGAGGCCATTTCCTCTTGTCCTGTCGCGTGCTACCTGGAAGAAGAACCCCACCCTCACCTGGCTACAACCTCCTTTCAGGCAATTCCTTTCATTTTATTTCCTCCAGGACAACCATTTGACCCTCACTACAAAATTAATGGTGCTGTTTCAAACATCATCTGTTCCATAACTTTTGGGAACCGCTTTGACTACCATGACAACCGTTTCCAGGAATTACTGCACTTGCTGGCTGAAACACTGCTACTCATTGGAAGTTTCTGGGGCCAGGTAAAGAGAGTTGGATGTTTTTCTAGCTTCAGCTGCATGTAAGAGCTTAGAAACTGGAGTTTCTAAGGCACTGATATAATCTCCTTTTCCCTGTAGAAAAAGTCACGTTATAAGAAAAATATCCAAAAGTATTGTTCTACATTAGACTGGAAACATACACAAATCTATCAGGAAAGCAAGGAAGTAAGTTAAAATAATTTGGGCATATGGGGAAAAAAAATACTACAGGATTGTAAAACCAGTCTTATGTGTTACATAGCCAAAGAACAACGTAAATGTAGTTCCTGCATGGCCACATACCATGGGTCAGGTCTGATCTCTGTCCCCTCCATGAGGGCACTAAAGAGCTGATCTGCACCCACCTCATCTGTGGCCACCTCATATTTGGTGCAATCAGAGAATTTTATCAGCAGAAAACATCTGGGCCATTCTTATCTTGTTTGTACTTGTTTACATAGTAGATTTGCACAAATTGGACCTTTGTAACAAAACTCATGTTTCTTCCTGGTAGCAAGTGGAGTTAATAAATTGTCCTATAATCTCAGCTATGATACCAGCTCTTTTTGAACTCAGGAAATGCTCTTCTGCTCTGTTTGATTTCTCACCAGTTGTATAACGCTTTTCCTTTGGTCATGAGCTGGCTGCCAGGACCCTTCAAGAAAATCTTCAGGCACTGGGAGAAACTTCGATACTTTGTGAAAGGTGTGATCGCAAAGCACAAAGAGCATTTGGACCAGTCCGAGGCAGGAGATTATATTGACTGTTACCTGAGGGAAATAGAAAAGGTAGGAGGGAAATGCCTAAAGCCACTGAAAGATTAACCTATAGAATGAGTAGAGAAGACTCAAGTCTGTTTTGTCAGGGGCGCTTATGCCTCACGCTCCTCATGCCTTCTCCTCCCTACCTCTGCCATGTCAAACTCTAGAAACAGCAGGAGCTTTAAAAACACACAGATTTTTTTTTTTCCATTTGAAAGTATTTACACTTTGTCTTCTTCCCTTTTTCACTCTGTTACATGGCGTAGGAGGACTCTCAGGGAACATGTTCAGGTTTACATGAGAGCTCTCAGGCCTGTGTTTGGTATTGGGAAACTTGACATTTAAAAACACTACCTTCATTCAAGAGTTACTCTACAGCATCCAGATTGTCTTTCAAAACAGTCCATAGGGCTTAAAATTCAGTGAAAATAAGACCTAGAAATTTCCAAGTCCAGGGCTGGTAGATAATAAAGGAGCAGCAGGATTTAGGTTACATACCAGTGGTTCTGGATCAGGTTTTTGAAAGCATCATCCCCTCCTTAATAAGAGTTTTCATTGCCATGTTTTTCTCCTAAGTTTAAGGGTGACACCAGCTCATATTTCCATGAGGAAAATCTGTTGTGCTCCACCTTGGACCTGTTTTTAACTGGGACTGAGACAACGGCGACCGCCATCCGCTGGGCTGTGCTCTACATGGCCACGTACCCCCACATCCAGGGTAGGGCCACGGATGGGTCCTTTGCTTAGCCCAAAACTAGATAAGTGAAACTCAGGGAACAGAGTTATCCCAGCTCTGCCCTGCGTTGGATATGCCTGTGCTCCAGGTATCTTATTGGGAATTTTTTGAAGGAGTGATTGAGGGAGCTAGGAGGGTTTAGCCTGGAAAAAAGGAGGCTTGGGGGGCTCAGGGGAGACTTTCTCATACTCTACAACTCCCTGAAAGGAGGTTGTAATCAGGTGGGGGTCGGTCTCTTCTCCCAAGGAATAGGTGATTGGAGAAGAGGAAACAGCCTCAAGTTGTGCCAGGGGAAGTTTAGATTAGATATTAGAGAAAATTTCTTCACTGAAAGGGTTGTCAAGCCCTGAAAGAGGCTGGAAGAGGGAAGTGATGGAATCACCACCCCTGGAAATCTTCCTAAAGGAGTATGGATATGGTGCTTGGGGACACGGTTTAGTGGTGGCCTGGCAGTGTTGGGTTAATGGTTTGACTCGATGGTCTTAAGGGGTTTTTCCTACTTTAAAAATCCTATGATTCTATAAAGACAGGTTTTTGGTTTTTTGGGTCTCCACAGAGAAAGTACAGCTGGAAATCGACACGGTGCTTGGCCAGTCCCGCCAGCCCACGATGGCCGACAAGGACAACATGCCCTACACCAGCGCGGTGCTGAGCGAGGTCCTGAGAATGGGCAACGTGGTGCCACTGGGGGTGCCCAGGATGGCCACCAGCAACACCACCCTGGCCGGCTTCCACCTGCCCAAAGTGCGTGCAGTCCACCAGCCTCCATCCTACCAGAGCTGGGTCTTCACAGCCCAAATTCCAAATCTCACCTGGAAGGGAAGCAACCAGCAGGATCTTGCAGAGATATCACTGTTATATAGAAAATACAAGCCCTCCTGATAGAGGGCGTGGGGCTGTTATGGGTCTCAGTTCCTTACAGAGGAGAACTGTAAGATCCTTATGGTGTTGGTCATAATTTCCAATTTTAAAAGATTTATCCCTTAAAATTTTGTAATTTTATATTCCACACACTATGGGAATAGAGGGCCAAGAAACAGTTTGGGTTTGTTAATTCCATAGAGTATTAAAAATCATCTGTTAAAACCAGAACTGGATTAAAGCCATGTAGTGGGTATTGTTGCACGCACACTGTGCTGCAATTATGAAAGCAAATATTAGATTTAGATACAACTAGCCTCTTCAATCTATATGGTTGGTTGCATCAAGGAAAATTAGAAATAAAAAATCTGGATGTTTTCCTCCACATTGATTAGAATATTTCTCTTGCTGATGGAGGATGTGGAGATAAACCAGATCAAGTCTGGGGTTTTTTTAAGGCTCAATAAAACAAACTGATTGAAAAGTATTTGATTTAATTGCTTCAAATTCCTATGGGATTGCAGTGTTACCAATTTAAAGTTGGTTTATAGTAACATCACCTGTTACAGCAGCTCAAGGTGTGGATCAACACTATGGTGATACCTAAAGACACACAGAAGTGAACAAACCTGTAGGTTTTCATCCTCATTTAATTACATAGCTTAGGGGGAAAAAACAAAGCACATTTTGCCCTTAAGAAAATGTAGTTTACGCTGTGTGTGGAACAGAGCTAACAATAACGCGGTCTGACAACACTTTGGCTCTTCTCCGCCACGCAATCGCCCGCTTTCCCCACCTCTCGCAGGGCACCACTCTGATGACCAGCCTGACTTCGATAATGTTCGACAAAAACGTGTGGGAGACTCCAGACACCTTTAATCCTGAACATTTCCTGGAAAACGGCCAGTACAGGAGGCGGGAGGCTTTTCTGCCCTTCTCTGCAGGTAGGATGATGGATGGGGAGGTGGCCTTCCTTTTTGCAATGTTTTTATTTTTTTCCCCCAAGACACAGCTTATAGAGTAGGGGACACTGCTCCTGTCCAGCTTCCAGCCCATCCCCACAGTGAAAATCCCAGTCACTGTTAATACTGACTGCTCGGAGCAGGAGGGAAATCAATTTTGTTATTGCAGGATAAAGAAAATAAGCCTTTTTCCCTCTTGCACAAGTTGCATAACTGGGTTTTTTTCACCGTTTCCCCTCTCTGTCTATCTGAGCAGCCGCAGTTTGCTCAGCAGTAAACTTCTGGGTAAGGTTTGAGCAGATTGTGTGGGTGAACATTGCCACCTAACCTTTCCAGGAAGAAAAGCCGCAGCAGCCTGTGCGAGGCGGCGCAGGCGAGAGGAGACTCAGAGGTGGCTGGAGCTCACTCAGGAGTCTTTTGGATTATTTTTTGCTCCTTTTCAGGCAAGAGGGCTTGTCCCGGGGAGCAGCTTGCCAGGACTGAGCTCTTTATCTTCTTCGTAGCCCTCCTGCAGAAGTTCACCTTCCGGGCGCCGGCAGACACCGCGCTGACCTTCGCCTTCACACTCAGCCTCACACGCTGCCCCAAGCCCTTCCAGATCTGTGCTTTGCCTCGTGACTGAGGCCAGTGTGGGGCTGCCCCATGACTGCCCTCTGCAGCCCTCCACAAACTGGAGAGTGTCCCTTCACCAATCTGCCCCACAGAGTTTGGGCTGCAATGATGGGCCGTAGAGGTCTAGCACGCATCAACATCTGGGTTGCAGGGAAAGGGCAGAAGGGCCACATCCTGAACACTGCAACAAAGACAACCCTTGTGGTTCTTCCCTTCATTCCTCCTCCCCTCTACCAGTTTGAAAAAATGCATGAATGTAAAAGCCTTATTACCTCATTTCCATCGTTAGCAACTCACAGGAAGGTGTATGCCACCCGTGAAAACATGGTTTCGTGTTGACTTCGCCGTAAGGGGATATGCCCATCACCCAGAGACCATTTAGAAACCACTAAATCCCAAAGCTGCAGAACCCCATATAGCCAAGGGCTGTGTTTTCTAAAGTGTCTCTTGGCAGGGAGAGCAGTTGGCCTTGGACATGATATACAAGCCCTGAGCTTATGCCTGAGCACAAAGCTGTACTTCAAGGTGGTCACTGACAATCATGAGCCTCGGGTGGGATTGGGGTTGGGCTCAGTGTGGTGGGCACTTCTTGCACCACCACACTGATGCCTTGTGATGGAAATAGCAGAATGGTTTTGTTTAGAAGGGACCTTAAAGCTCATCTTGTTCCACCCCCCCTTCTGTGGGCAGGGACACCTTCCACTAGGCCAGGGTCGCTCCAAGCCCCAAGTCCAACCTGGTCTTGAACACTTCCAGGGATTAGAAATATCTAAGCAGAGATCTCTGCAGCAGCATGCATTTTTTAGATCTCATAGATAATATGGAAATTTTAATTAGGAAGCAATAGGGGAGAAGAACCTTATACCAAAATTCCAACCCAAGTGGGATTGCACAAGGAGCTGTGCAACCAGCAGGCCTGGAATGATTATAAAAATACAGTATTGGGATATTGTAATGGAAATGCAATAGGTTTCTGCTAATAAAATAAAAAACAGAAAAGTTGCAAAAAAATAATCCCTCTGTTGCTTGGGAGCACTTTATCCAAAGCCCAAGAGAAGGAGAAGCAGCAGAGAGTGTTGGAAGGGTCGCGCCTGTGGCAGCTCACCGCTGGCTGTCAGGAAGGAAGTGGTTTTGTGGTGAGAAGTCTCAAGTTCAACATTTCCCCTCTTTTTGTGGCAAAGATTTGTGGCCATGATGGCCATGATGGGCCTGGACACAGCGTGGGGTCGAGGAAGTGGGTTGGGACACGGCCCCCTCATGACAGACACACTGCTCCTGCCCATACCAGCTCCCTTTGGATAAGAGTTCATTAAACATGCAACTTGTAAAGAGCTGATCATTTACGTGACCAAATATTTATGCTCAGAAATGCTGTCTCCTGGGTGCTTCTGTCTGCAGTGTAGTCAGAGAAAAGATTCTTCTTTTTTCTCTTTTTTTGGCTTCTCACCTTTCATAGAAGACTTTTCAATGGACACCCACCG